TGTGTTTCGTGGAGTACATCAGGAATAACGTAGTCCTGGGTTGTGGAAATTGGCAGCGGTGGGAGCTCCTATCCCAGCCATTGGGTCTCATAATAAGGCGAGGAGCATGCTGCTTTTTTTAACCTACTCTGTTTACTTGCCCGGATCAGTGCATTGCAACGCAGCAAGAGCTGGCGGAGCTGATGGCCTGGGGAGCCGGAGGAGGCAGCTGCCTGAACCATGAATCCCAGGGCAGGATTTCAGCTTTGTAATCGGAGCAGGCGACTCCCGTTGTTTTTAAATCTCTCGCTCTTATTTTTAAATGGGTTCATTCAATCGCCATTCCGCCGTAACCCTGCCACAACCCCCTGATCTAAGGGGCTTCTCTGCGCGGCTCAGTCTCTGGGTGGTTTTTCCAGCCCTTCGGGCTGTTTTGCAGATGTAAAAATAAAAGCTGGAACATGTAATAACAGCAGCTGCGCGACCGAGCGACGTTGCCGGTGAAGAGGCTGCTGGGAAAAGCGGGGCCAGCGCTGGCCGTGTGTTGATTTAGCCGCGTATCCCGGCAGTTCACGTCGTAGCCGCTTCTCATGAAACGAAGCAGCAGGTATCGCAGCAAGTTTGTCCCCGTCTCAGAGGTGAACAGGAAAGCTGTTGTTTTAAACTGTGTAAGCTCTCGGAGCAGTAACGCCGCCTGCGTCGACATCCCACGTACAAATACATTGGCCCCCAGAAAGGTCAGGAATCAGGCTTGGTGGGGCTGGCAGCTGAAGGGGAGAGCCCTGCATTAACCATCGTGCCCACGAGCCACCTTCCAAGCCCCACCTCGGTCACTTGGCTTGGGCGTTGCACCTGTTCCCTCCCGTCAGCTGTGTTTTAGCTGATTCGATTGTAAGCTCTCCAAGGCAGGAGCCGGACATCTTACTTCTTTGTACAGCACCTTGCAGACCTTGGGGTGGCCCCGAGCCTCTTAGCCAAGTTGCCTGAACAGGGGTGATTTGAGTGAATGGACCCTGGATCAGAACCGGTCCTGCTTTGATTTTGCAGAACCAAAACCTGGCTCCTCCAGCCCAAGTTGGTTCACAAAATCCAGCTTCTCTGCATTTCCCTGCCAACACCTGGGTTCCGGGTTCCTTTTCCTTGGCAAGAGTGGAACAGGCCCCATCAAAACCCAGGGTGTGCATGTGTATTCCGCATGAACGCTAGTGCCCTATTGCTGTCTCGGGTGCAGGTTTGACTGTGTATTTATCTACCGAGTGCTGGAGGTTAGCTGCGGACAGAGACACGCTGTCGGAGAAGCCTTGTGAGCACAGAGTGTCCAGGGCATAGGATTCTCTCTGGCCTTGTGCCCAAGTCATGCAGAGGGAGGGGTAAAAGGCAGTGGCAAGTCATGCGTTGCTACTGAGCCGTCTGTGAACCAGGGGGTCTAAGAGGATTGCACCTGGCGCTGGTGGGCGTCTTGTCGTTCTGCAGGCTCGGAGCCTTTCACCACAGATGGAGGCTGAGAGCTGTTCCCGTCTGATGGCTGCCTGGGGGCCTGCGTGATGGCAGCGTGCCCACACAAGCCCCCTAAATGGCACGAGCAGAGGCCAATGGCAATGTGTCACGGCGGCTGACCTCCCCTCTCACCCTCCGAATCCCCATTGAAGAGCAGTGGCGGGGAGCTCGACCTGCCCTGCCCTGTGCTGGCCCAGCTCCGCAGGGCCTGGCCCGGCTGGTCCAGTGCCTCTGAGCAATGCTACGTTCAGAGCCACGCCCTGCGGCGGGGCTGTGCGCCTGTCTGCTCTCCTCCACCGGCACCTGTCTCCCGACATCCGGCCCCGCAGCCAGGCGCGTGCCTGTGTCTCTGGGCTGCCCCGTCGGCAGGTTACTTGGGAAGGACTTTCATACGCTTTCGGTGGCTCGTAAAGGGAGCCGGGCTGGGAAGTGCAGTGCAGGGTGACGTTCCGGCTTCAGTTTAGTGCCGAATGGGACACTGGAGCAGCCTCGCGGATGCTTAAACCCTCAGCCCTGTCTCTTTAAAAGCACCCGCAGACGAGCAGCGCTGAAGGGCTGTATCCGAACCTGCCAGAGAGCAGGCTGAGGCGGGACGGCAAACAGCGAGATCCTGAGTGAAGCCGTCCCTGGGCTGTCAGTCTGGCTGCGTGGCTTCTTCCAGGAAAAGGGCTCTTCAAGCTCCCTTTGATTTATTCCCGATCTGTTGTTTAGACTGTGCAGATATAATAACGCACGAGCCAAGCGGCGGCTGTTCCCAGCGAGCAGTATCAAGGAGCTCCATTAATCCCCATGATGGATGGGGCTGGGGAGGGGAACGGTCTGTTTCCCATTTCCCAGAGGAAGGGGGGAAGTTTGGCTTATGCTGCCCGAGCGGTGAACAGGCAGCCGTGCGAGTCGATGGGGAGCCCCGCATGCTGCCCGGGGATGGATTTCACCCCCGGGGCCAAGTCTCGGGCAGGACCCCCACCGGATCTCGCTGGAGCCTCTGGAACTATGGCCATAGCGGAAATCCTCTGTCGGGAGAGCCTCCTTCATGGGCCTGGAATGCGCCGGCTCGTCTGTTAAATCCATCACGTCGGCCCCACTTCCCACACATCCCCAGCTGCTTCACCCTGCCGCCAGTGCGCTCCTTGTCGGACAGTCTGTTCCCACTCTCCCGAGGGCCGTCCTTAAGGGAGCACTCCTGCCTGGCTGGGAATTCGGGGGGTGGGGAGAGAGCCACACGCAGCCTTCTGGCTGGTGGGAGTCAGTTGTAACCCTGCTAACACTCGGTATGATGCAGAGGTCAAGCCAGTGTTCGTTGAGGCCATTTGAAGCAAACTCCTCCCAGGAGACCTGCTGCAGTGGGAGCTCCCCTTTCCTGTGGGGTAGAAGGAATGGGGTGGAGCTGGCTGCCCCTGGGACAGGGGACTCCCTCCAGTCTGCCATTCCCTGTGCCCGTTTTGCCGTGCCAAGTGCCCTGTGCTTTCTCC